AATTGAAAAGGAAGCCGCTGTTCTTGTAGTGCTTGGAAGGTCATTCCACATTTGTGGAACGATGCATGAGAAGAGTCTGGATTGTCCTGAGCGTGGTGTAGGCACTGCTAGCCGACGATCCTGTGATGACCGGAGCGGCCGGGCCGAGACGTAAGCCTTTGCAAGAGGATTCAGGTAGATGGGAGCCGTACCATGTCGGACTTTGTATGCTAGTGTTAGCAATTTGAACTTGATGCGTGCTGCTAGCGGTAGCCAGTGGAGCTCAATGAACAGAGGGGTGACGTGTGCCGTTTTTGGCTGATTGAAGACCAGACGCGCCGCTGCGTTCTGGACCATTTGAAGAGGTCTCACAGTACAGGCTGAAAGACCAGTTAGAAGGGCATTGCAGTAATCGAGGTGGGAGATGACAGTAGATTGCACCAGGAGCTGGGTGGCATGTTGTGTTAGGTATGGTCTGATCTTTCGTATGTTATACAGCGTGAAGGGGCATGAACGAGCAACAGAGGCAACGTGATCTATAAAGGTCAGGTGTTCATCAATCAATATTAGCGACTTCAAATACATTAGAAAGAAATAGGTTCATTTAATATTCGTTGTTTATAAAACTGCTGGTTGAGTCAAAGTTTTAAATATTATGTGTTATAGGGAAATCGCACACACACACACACTGTGTTACATAGAAGGTGTGTTGTGGGGACTTCTCACACACACTGTGTTACATAGAAGGTGTGTTGTGGGGACTTCGCACACACACACACTGTTACAGAAGGTGTGTTGTGGGGACTTCTCACACACACTGTGTTACAGAAGGTGTGTTGTGGGGACGTCGTAGATGCTCAGAATCCTGCTCCAGTTGGCAGACTTTAAAATGACTTTGAACATTAAACCTTCTTTCACATTTGTATCTCCAACCAAACTTCTAAATGCAATGATTTAAAAAATGTAGGTGGACCATCTTTAATTCTTAAGACCAGCAAACCTTCATCAGCGTCACACAGCTCTAACGCAGACGTGATGGGGACTCCTGACACACTGTGTTGCACTTTTAGGAGTAATATCAATTGTCATGGAGAAGAAAAACTTTATGTTCTAAATATGTGGAAAATCACCTGCCAGTGTCAACCTAGAACCATATTAAAATCACAAGTACCTGCTCAGGAGTGGTGCATCTACCATCACCTCTCAGCATGTCTGGCTGGAGGGAAGCATGGGAGGTTTCTTCATCCACAGGTTTTGATTTCACACTGGTTGACTGCAAGCACAATTTACAGGTGATTAGATTGTTAAAACAAATCTTTTTTTCAGGATATAATTTAAGATTTACAGTAAATTAGCTAAAGGCTAACAACAACAACAACAACAACAACTTGACATCAATCATGGAGAGGAGGGAACAAAGGAGTGGACGGTAGAGAGGGGGGACGGGTGCAGGGAAGGTGCTAGTTAAGAAGATGCTCTCTGAAGAGCAGGGTCTTCAGGAGTTGCTTGAAAATTGAAAAGGAAGCCGCTGTTCTTGTAGTGCTTGGAAGGTCATTCCACATTTGTGGAACGATGCATGAGAAGAGTCTGGATTGTCCTGAGCGTGGTGTAGGCACTGCTAGCCGACCATCCTGTGATGACCGGAGCGGCCGGGCCGAGACGTAAGCCTTTGCAAGAGGATTCAGGTAGATGGGAGCCGTACCGTCTCGGACTTTGTATGCTAGTGTTAGTGATTTGAACTTGATGCGTGCTGCTAGCGGTAGCCAGTGGAGCTCAATGAACAGAGGGGTGACGTGTGCCGTTTTTGGCTGATTGAAGACCAGACGCGCCGCTGCGTTCTGGACCATTTGAAGAGGTCTCACAGTACAGCCTGAAAGACCAGTTAGAAGGGCATTGCAGTAATCGAGGCGGGAGATGACAGTAGATTGCACCAGGAGCTGGGTGGCATGTTGTGTTAGGTATGGTCTGATCTTTCGTATGTTATACAGCGTGAAGGGGCATGAACGAGCAACAGAGGCAACGTGATCTTTAAAGGTCAGGTGTTCATCAATCAATATTAGCGACTTCAAATACATTAGAAAGAAATAGGTTCATTTAATATTCGTTGTTTATAAAACTGCTGGTTGAGTCAAAGTTTTAAATATTATGTGTTATAGGGAAATCGCGCACACACACACACTGTGTTACATAGAAGGTGTGTTGTGGGGACGTCGTAGATGCTCAGAATCCTGCTCCAGTAGGCAGACTTTAAAATGACTTTGAACATTAAACCTTCTTTCACATTTGTATCTCCAACCAAACTCCTAAATGCAATGATTTAAAAAATGTAGGTGGACCATCTTTAATACTTAAGACTAGTGTTGTCAAAAAAATCAATACTTAGATATAAATTGATACTAAAGTGGTATCTAAATTAGATATTCCATCCCTGTGGTATCGATATTATGGACTATTATACACAGCCTTCTTCAAGTACACCGACACGCACAACAGCCAGATGCCGTAAAGCAGCCTCCGGCTCCCAGACAAACAGAAGACGACGACGCCGCATGGCTACATTACAATTTCCCACGCGAGTTGTCTCCGATCCAAGTTTTGTCTGCCAAATAAATAAACAAAAACATAAACAGCGAATTTGGGAGGCGCTTCACAGCCCAACTTAATTAGCATACCAAGTCCGACACGTAGTTGTATATTCACGCTTACGTGCTTAAAGGAAATCTCCCGTTTATTGCAACCCGGACTTAATATCTAGCATGCAGTACGTTTGTTTACTCACGCTGACAACTTTTGTGCTACTTGGATTCCCCGGGGTATTTAGATCCATTGGCGAATCGCCATCAGTGTTTATCCATATAACGGGTGCGGACGGGCACCCATGGTGCAGCCTCGAAATAAGACATTATCTGCACCGAAACATCTCAATGTCGAAAGGTTTTGTTAGGAATCATTAACGTGATTCCCCTGTTCGTTTGTAGCGGGTCTGGGATTTCTAGGTGTAAACAGGCTAGCCGCGGCTAATCTAACCGGTGCTTTTAATGACGTCACTGCCGTGCGCCAATCTGTTTTTATTAAGATTACCGGTAGATGTACCTTTGTCCTGCTGTGGAGAAATTCGTTTTCTCCCTTTAATGACCAACAGAGTTGTTCAAAAGTACAGAACAAAACATATGGCATTACATCTTATGACAAAAATGCACCTTAAACAGAGTTTAAGCAGCAAAACATCACTCTGCAAATAGTGTATATATAGTGAGACAATTCATTATTTAAAGTGTTAACTTTCACCAGTTTTTGTATGCACGTTTTAAAAAATGCTGATACTTGAAAGATTCAAGCACTTTATACACTTAATTCTTAACATTTAATTTTTGCAATATAAATTGAGGAATGTTATTTTTTGAATAAACTTGTTCAATAAATTGGTGTTTTTAAATAGTATCGAAATCGAGTATCAAGTTTTTTTTTCCAGCATCGAATCGAGTTTGAAATTTTAGTATCGTGACAACCCTACTTAAGACCAGCAAACCTTCATCAGCGTCACACAGCTCTAACGCAGACGTGATGGGGACTCCTGACACACTGTGTTGCACTTTTAGGAGTAATATCAATTGTCATGGAGAAGAAAACCTTTATGTTCTAAATATGTGGAAAATCACCTGCCAGTGTCAACCTAGAACCATATTAAAATCACAAGTACCTGCTCAGGAGTGGTGCATCTACCATCACCTCTCAGCATGTCTGGCTGGAGGGAAGCATGGGAGGTTTCTTCATCCACAGGTTTTGATTTCACACTGGTTGACTGCAAGCACAATTTACAGGTGATTAGATCGTTAAAACAAATAATTTTTTCAGGATATAATTTAAGATTTACAGTAAATTAGCAGGAGAATAAAAAGATACTAACAAGATGCTGGTTGAGTCAAAGTTTTAAATATTATGTGTTATAGGGAAATCGCACACACACACACACTGTGTTACATAGAAGGTGTGTTGTGGGGACTTCGCGCGCACACACACTGTGTTACATAGAAGGTGTGTTGTGGGGACTTCGCGCGCACACACACTGTGTTACATAGAAGGTGTGTTGTGGGGACTTCTCACACACACTGTGTTACATAGAAGGTGTGTTGTGGGGACTTCGCGCACACACACTGTGTTACATAGAAGGTGTGTTGTGGGGACGTCGTAGATGCTCAGAATCCTGCTCCAGTTGGCAGACTTTAAAATGACTTTGAACATTAAACCTTCTTTCACATTTGTATCTCCAACCAAACTTCTAAATGCAATGATTTAAAAAATGTAGGTGGACCATCTTTAATACTTAAGACCAGCAAACCTTCATCAGCGTCACACAGCTCTAACGCAGACGTGATGGGGACTCCTGACACACTGTGTTGCACTTTTAGGAGTAATATCAATTGTCATGGAGAAGAAAAACTTTATGTTCTAAATAAGTGGAAAATCACCTGCCAGTGTCAACCTAGAACCATATTAAAATCACAAGTACCTGCTCAGGAGTGGTGCATCTACCATCACCTCTCAGCATGTCTGGCTGGAGGGAAGCATGGGAGGTTTCTTCATCCACAGGTTTTGATTTCACACTGGTTGACTGCAAGCACAATTTACAGGTGATTAGATCATTAAAACAAATCATTTTTTCAGGATATAATTTAAGATTTACAGTAAATTAGCTAAAGGAAACAAAAAGATAGTAAGAAGATAATATTATGTTTATGTATTTAGCAGACGCTTTTGTCCAAAGCGACTTACAAGTGATAATCGGCATGTTGCCCTTGAGGCTAACAACAACATCAATAATCATTTTCAACAGACATAATTGTAACTTAACAAAATGAACCACCCAGTGCTCTAGGATGAACACCACAGCTGTTGGCAATTTGCATGAAAGCAGCTAAAGGTATATTCCAAAACACTATTTTAATCAATCTAATCTGAATTGTATTTGTTAAGGCAAGTAGACCACATCTTGTAGTGTCTAAATATCAACTTACCTGTGATCTCCACGGGCAGTCTGCACCTCCATAATCATATGTAATTTCATCTCCTTCTTGAATGTTTTTGAGGGCAAACAAACAGAGGTGAGGACTTCCATTCACATTAACCTTTTTCATCCTGCAGTTTGGATGTCTGTGTTCATCATTTACTAGCCTCCCAAATGACCCATCCTCTCTGGAGGCATCAATGCTTGAAAAAGAGAAAATAAATAAATGAAAACAATTAAAGAAAAATTCAAGACTGTTTAATGACTCAGTTTACAATAGTAAATTATAAAATGAAATGTAAAAGACGGTTTAAATCTCACCAGCATGTTTTCCCGTGCCACTTGAATACAAAAAAAAAATCCTGCACATGATGGGTGATAAAGTTTTTGTCTTCTCTCAGATTCTGCTTCAGTTATCCTATCTCCTCTATATTCTAACACAAAGTCTCCTTGGCAAAATGAACCTTTTGCAAATATACCACGACCTGAAAAAAATGAAAACAAAAACATCTGCTTGAAGGTATTCTACCGTAGACTTCAAAGCCTACTACAATAATCGTTTTACTTTTTCACCCACTCCAATACACCTGATTTGAATCAATGGGTGATTAACAGAGTTCTTTAAAAATGGAAGACCAACTGGGTAGATTAGCCCACTGCTTGTCAGCTAAAGATTGAATTGAGTTCTATTTTTGCCATGACATGTTTCTGGTATGTGTCAAGCTCCACAGTTAACAAGGCGCTAAAAGGGATCAATGTTTCATTATTCTGAAATTTCCAAATAAAAGAGTGTCGCTAAGTTACAATTCCTTAACTATGTAGACATCTCATCTTTACCAGCAACCAAACTGCTTTGTTGCTTACTGCATCTTTGAGGAGAGCAAAGATATGTTTTTTAAAAACAAACAAGGCTCTTAGCCTGGCAGAGGAGAATCACAAGCTTTTACAAAAACAACAAAAAGGAGAAGAGATGGACCCAAATATCAGCAACTATGGAAGTGGATGGCGAGTTTAAAAGACATAATATAAAAAAAGAAGTTATTTGAAAGCATACAACATCAATTCTTCATTGATTTTGTTTTGCACATCCAACTATGTAAACCGTTGCACGGCCGCTCCACATCTGAAATGAAATGGCTTGCAAGTAAACTGCTGCTGCCAAAACGCACCACAGAGGCACCCAGTGTGAATTGAGAGTTGTGGGTAAACTAGTGGTTGCTTCTGTTCACTAATTTTCTGTACACAACCATGACTTAAATCAAGGCCATTTATAAGTATTTGGTATCAGTTCTCAATATTGATAAGTACTCCTTCTCAATTTAGAAAATGTGGTATCAGTGCATCCAAATTCTCTTTTAAATTCATTTTTGATATGAACCGAAGTATCTTTACTGGTATCCCGTCAAACTAGACACTATATTCTTGTTAGACAGAACACAGTTATCTTTACCCCAACACTTACCTTTTACTTCATTGATGTACTTCACCTCTAGCTTGTTAATTTTATCTGTTCTTGAAGTAACATGCTGAATTGCATCTTTCTGAGGGTTGACACGAGGGGGCATTTTAAGCTGCAAAAAATAAAATCATAGACTGTAGTTACATGATCACGTTATAATTTGCATTCACATTTTAGAATCATTGCAACAGTCTAAGTTTATTCATTTAAAAGTTTGCCTTTAAAGGCTACCATACCAGGTCACACAATTACAAGAAGCAAAAACTTGATAATGACATAAGATGTAGCCGGTCTGTGCCTAAAGTAATTTGATGTTATTCACCCAGTTTAACTTTCCATAATAGTTGAGCAGGTGTAGCTTTTTGACACGTGTCTCCATCCGGCACGTGTTTAAACAGTTCAGAATACAAATTCAGGTTCTGTGTCATTGGACTGTTGTCATTAAACTTTCTAATGAACACAAATTAACAATAAACAGTAGCCACGTTTACATGCGCCAAATGTCCTCTATCGGATTAAAATCTTGATTGATTGGAAATTAAAAATCTTTGTTTAAATGGACACAAACTGAAATGATCTGATCATGCCGTGAGTACATATGCACCAAGTTAAACAAAAAAGTCCTGGTGCTGAGAGGTTTGGTAGTTCACCTGTGGCTCCAATCACTATTTTTGTTCTAAAAAATGATTAGGTAATAGTTTCATATTCAAATAAGCAACTGTAGCTCAAAAAAGCAAAGAACTAAAAAAATAAAAAAAGGAGAGATCAAGGTTAGTGATGACTTGTGCTATTTTTGGAACTTGCTCGCAGGCACCACGGTCGTGACCCCTGCTCGATGTTAGTCATATGGGCGACGGTGGCACAGGAGTTAAGTACTCGCCTCGTGAGGTTCAAGCCCCGCTCAATCTGTCGCTGTCTTTGTGTCCTTGGGCAAGACACTTAACCCACATTGCCTGCTAGTGGTGGTCAGAGGGGCCGGTGGCGCCAGTGCTCGGCAGCCTCGCCTCTGTCAGTGCGCCTCAGGGCAGCTGTGGCTACATCGTAGCTCATCCCCACCAGTGTATGAGTGTGTGTGTGACTGATTGTGTTGTAAAGTGCCTTGAGAGGTTCCAGGACTCTAAAAGGTGCTACATCAAATACAGGCCAAGGATTTTTTTGTTTGCCCATTGACCGCTGGAGATAGGCACCAGGCCCCCCCACCCCTCGCAACCCTGCGTGGACAAGCAGGTTCAGAAAATGGATGGATGGACATAATCTGCCGATTTCAGAAGCATTAATGTCAGTATATTAGTATCTGCAAATATCGGTTATTGGCCATAACAGTGACATTAATATATGATATCGGCCCAAAAATTTCATATCGTTGCATCGGTATTCTATAGACATTGATTACGCACAAGCAGGTGACCTGCTCAGGTTTACACAGAGACTAAGGAAGGAGTGCATTTGGGTCACGGCAGGTGAAATCGTTATATTTTAAGTGCAATTGTATACTTGTAATGTTAATATTACTGGACACTCTGGTCAGCTTCTTTAGACTAAATATGAATTAAAATGAAGTTTTATTTATTATTATTATTATTATTTGAGAAATGAACATGAAGAGGGGAGAAACGATCACCGGTATTTTTAAACTCGTTGGTCAAACTGACAACAAAACTGTCTAGAGCAACCTCTGAATGTAGGAATTGTTTCTGTACCCGCATCCATTGACTTATATTGATATTAATTTGTTTAATTAAAGCCCATCTAGAAATTAAAACCTGGCGCAGTGCCTGAGCTTGTGGAGTGATGTTTCTGGACGGCAACTTTTACTTTTACTGTATTAAAAATATGTTCAATTAGTGCTGCACTTACTCCATATATTTTTGCCAGTACATAAGCGCCCCACAGGCCGAAAAACAGCAGCGGAACGTTCTGTGCCTGGCAAAATGACGAACAGCCTTGAGATTTCTAAGTCAAAAAATAAACTGTCATATACGGAAAATATCCGGTTAACGTGACTCTGAGCTATATCATCATGCAACGCTACAGCACCTGATACATCACATGACAAGGACCATACTTATCCAGAATTTTACATCTGATACGTTTCTAAATTTTCCTGACACAAAGAGTTTTCCTTCTTAAAGGTTACAACGACAACCATAATAAATTATCCAAGTTTTTATATGCTTTCAAATATGTTAGCTGCGTGTAGGAAAAAGTTATATTTACATGATGCTCAGATACGTTAGAGTGATGAACTAACTAGTTAAAACTTCAAAAGAATCAATAAACTGCTTGTCCTAACACTATCAGAAGGCCATTTAACACTTACACAATATAAAACCTGGAAGAGTATTTAATTTGCCCGAATTAGCCACGAGTGTGGTAGCAGAGCTAGCTTGAGCACATGGTGTATTAAGCAGTGCTTTACTTGAAAATAACAAAGTTTTTGTTTTATATGTCTAAAAAAATAACCACTTACCTGACACTCTTTGAATCCCTGCTGCTTAATCTTCAACCTTTTCATCGACCCATTTGAGACCAATGTTCGACGCGCACCGAGTCAAATAATCAAGTCGCTTACTGGTACCTAACCACAACTTCCTGTAGTTTCACAATAAAAGCACATATAAGGAAGTTAAAGTCAAATCATCCGTTTTCATGTTTTGTATCATATACCCATCACATAAAGGCAACTCCTAGATGGGTCAACATTGGATCTTATTTGGATCAAATCTAATCAGATCCAAATAAGATCCATTTGCTATTTTTAACAGAGCAAGAAATGATTGTCTTGGCATTCCTATCTAATGTTTTTTCTGCTCCTCATGAACAGCTGTTAAATAGAAAGGTCATAAACTATACTGAATTTGAAAAGATCTGCATCCATTGTCAGCAATTTAACTAACGCTGATTATGTTAAATTTTTCATTTATTTCCCAGTGTTATACTTGTTGCACTAGAAAGTGACATGCATGAAAAAAATGTTTTTCTAGCTCATAGGAAGACAAAGGATTCATTCAAATATTGTTTTGAAAATCATGGATGGCACCAGGCAGTAGCTAAGGTTTGATAAAGCAATGGCAAGACTATAGGCCAAGCAACAGCTGAGCAACCCTGACTGATGTCCTGGCCTACCCTACCCACCACACTCCCCCAGCATTAAACCCCCACCTGCCAACTCTTCACACCGCACTGAGGGAAAGCACATTTCCCAACTGCTTACTTAGCAACTGTACAACACGTACAAGTTGAGATAATATAGATGTCCTCCAAAATAGAACTTCAGAGGCTAATCTTTATGGAGCTTTTTGAATTAGTACAAATGATGGGGAAAATCTCCAGTGTTATTTAAACAAAAAGGAAAGAAAGCAATCTTTTATGCAGCACCTCTCAAAATAAAAATCACGAGGTGCTTCACAACAACGAAACAAAAAATTAAGTATAAAAAATATTTCAATAAATGATAAAAAATATGTTTTAAATGAGAAATAATAAAATTTGTGATAACAATGTAAGAAAAGAGAGAGAGGAAATGTATAGGAAAGAGGGAAATCAGTGGATCCCGGGAAAGGCAGAATAAGAGCAAAATAAGGAGACGAAGGTCACGCAAAAGCCAACTTGAACAAGTTTTGCTGTTTAAAAAAAGACCACTGAGAACGCTGATCTCAGGTTCAGGGGAAGAGAGGTCCAGAGTCTGGGGGCCACAGCAGCAAATAATCTGTCAACTTTGGTCTTTAGCCTGGTGCTGCACAACCAGTAGGCTTTGGTCACTGGACCTCAGGGACCTGCTGGGGGTGTAGGGACTGAGAAGATCACCAATGTAAGATGGTGCTTGTCCATGTAAGGCCTTAAAGACCAGAACCAGGATCTTGAAAATAACACTGAAATTGACTGGCAGGGTGATGTGGGTGTGTTTGGAGGACTTGGTCAGAAGATGAGCATAGGCATTCTGAACCACATGTAGATGGTTCAGGGAGGTTTTGCTCAGACAAGAGAAAAGAGAGTTGTGGTAGTCTAAGCATGAGGAGATGAGGGTGTGGAGAACAGTCTCAAGTTCAGAGCGGGACAGAATGGAACTCAACTTTGCAATGCTCCTGAAATGGAAGAAGGAAGAGCGAACAAGAGAACTGACATGAGAATCCAGGGTGAGAGCTGGGACAAAGGTCACACCAGGATTCCTGACAGAGGGTTCAGTGTGAGAAGCAAGCTGACCAAGAGAGTCTCTGACTTTGGGAACCAGCTCGTTTGGGGGCACAGATGAGGATCTCAGTCTTATCTTCATTCAGCTGTAGAAAGTTCCCAGCCATCCAGGTTGTAATAGAGCCTTAGCAGGTGTGTAACAGCTGCAGCTTAGACATCTCATTGGGCTTAAAGGAGATGTACAGTTGGGAGTAATCTGCGTAAAGATGGTAGGATATTCTTTTAAAGGAGCTCAGGGTGTGCTGAAGAGGAAGCAGATAGAGGAGGAAGAGTAGAGACCCCAGCACAGAACCTTGTGGGACACCATGGGTGAGCAAGGTGGTTGAAGAGTCTTCCAGGAAGACCTAAACTTGGAGACAGCCACAGAGAAGGAGCGCTCAGACAGATAAGAGGAGAACCACTTCAGAGCAGATCCTGATAAAGGATTATTTCACCTACTGCCCCATCAAGTCTTCCCTCAAACTCACTGAACTAGTTTCTTTATTAGATAAGGTAAATACCAACTCCTTTAACAATAAATCCCTCCTGCTTAATCTTAATTTTCGCTAAAACCTGTATCATACCACTGTCCAGCCCCAAACGCAGCTGGGTGCACGACTACCAGCCGTCACACCGACTCGACCCCCGGCGACCACCCCGGGTGGTTCCCGGACCTCCAAGGGGGCCAGAAAGGTCGGGAAAGATTGGGATTTATGCCGTGACTCCCTATCGGGTACTGCCTATTCATCACTTTGGGGCAGATTGGAGCCGGTTGGCCGGGACCGACTCCCCCATTTCGATTTCATAGAAAGATGTGCTGATTCATAAACTGTTATTAGACCTGCCCAGGGTCGCTCCCAGACAAAGTTAGTCTCCTAGGAGGCATGGACAAAGTTTATTTCACTTGCTGGCACGGGGGACTGGTACGAGCATAAAAAATAATTTTTCTCCT